GAGACCACTGCACTGACTTAAAGATGGGGTCTTAGAAGTCAGATTTTTGTCAGATTTTGTACATTCTGGTAAAAAACTTACAAGAGAATGTTAAATTAAAATTGGAATAATTTAAAGTAATAGCTGTTTTCAGGATCCCTTTAAGTTTAATAGCAATAAATAAAATACCTGTAAAAGACAGCAAAAATGATAGGGGGAAAAGTGATCTGATTTATAGTTCAGTCTCACAATATCCCTCACCCCTAGTAGGGGACTCACACTGATAGCTGATATTACACCTGACAAAAAAGAAAGGTGAGTTTTATGGGCCACAAAAAGGCTAAATTTTATCACCTGCTGCATAGTTTGACAGCACTAAATAAACTCACAAAGCATGTGCTGAAATAGAAATTTTATAGAAAACACCTGTTTCAGAAGCCAATGGCTATGAAACATTTCTACTTTTATATATAAAAATAGAAAAATTCATAACAATGTGGAACTGAACTGAGGAAAGTAATACAGCAAAGCTATTTCAAAGAACACTGAAACAGTGGGTATAGACTTGTTTGTACATAGGAAGCTCAGCAAAGCAGTTCCAAATGAGCTATCTGTAGCAAGCTGAACTGATGCTAAAAGATGAAGATAAAATTACAGTATCTATTGAGATCTACATTAGAGATGCCAAGAAGCTTTCTGGAGTCTGTACAATATTCTGGGAATTAAGAAAAAGATACAAAAAGGCAACAGTGGGACTATGTACCTGCACTGAAGATGACAGTCCTGTAATAAAGAAGATTGCTGGTTCAAGGACAGACTTGCTAAACTACAAGAATATGGGGCACACAGAAAACGCACACTACAGGTAAAGTAAGACTGTCTCTGTAGGGAAACATGAGAAAAAAAAAATAAATCAGATTCATTAGTCCTGCTCTGAAAATGGTATAAAAACTCATCAGTTTTGGAAGGGATGATGTAATTTAGATTTCTTTACAAGTGAAACAGAGGTAGTCTTTTGACAGAGTTTGAGAATAGCAGCTGCTCCTTTTTTTAAAAAATCCAAACCAGCTTCAGAGCAGGATGATCAGGAACGACCTTGATATGAAAAATGGCAGGAAAAAAAAAAAAAAAAAAAAAAAAAAGATGGCATTCCCTTTCTCTTGGGTATTCTGAAAGCAGTGGTAACTCAGCAGACACTAAATCCCTCTGTTGTGAAAAAAGGAGGTCACACATCTTTCCACTCTGACAGATTCAGCTGAATGCTACCTGTTTGAAGTGTAAGGCAAAAAAGACAACTGCTAGTGCTTGAAGTGGCAAATGCCAAGTTTTGAAGGCATTTGAACAAAAAACTTATCTACAAATTTTTATCTAAATTTGTGTCATCTTTGCCAATTAACTTTTTGCCTTTTCTTCTTGATTTTTTTAACCAATTCCTGCTCACTCCAGCCCCACTCCTTTTATTCCTTCCTCAGCAATTTCTACCTGCTCTTTGCTCTGGAAAATACCATTTCTCTCGCCTGTATGACTCAGTTTGTGGCTATGGGCTTTGCCTCGTCTCTCTCTTCTTCAATCCCCTTTCTTCCCTGCACTCCACTGCTATCAGAGGCTGGATCTGATAGATTCCGAGTGCATACAGAGGAGAGCTGCGTGGGCATCACCAGAGAAAGCACCATTGAGAGCTTTCCCCTGTTCCTATCTAGTCAGCTGACTTAAGAACATCCTGCCATTTCCCTCTGTTAATTGCCAGCTCCCCACAGGCACATGGCTACTCCTCATCTCTAGCCAGCTTCTGAGTCCACTTGTGTCTCTTAAGGTAGATGCAGCCTACGTCTCAGCTCAAGCACACCCGGGTGAGGTGTTTTCAGAGGGACTACCTAGGCTGCCCGAATGAAAATCATGTGGACAAGATACAAAATTGTAGAAAGAGGAGGTTATCCTCCAGGAAGAGCTGGAATGGCCTACCCTGGTCAGAAAATTTACCCTATGAAGGCTTTAACTTTTTTTTAAAGTCCCAAACCATGAGGTCCCAGACATCACCATCTTCTTCCTATTGCCCACCCTACACTTCTAACTATTTGAAGGAGTGTTTATCTTCTAAATTCTGCTTTCTTCCTCTTATGCATGTTAAAAGGAGGAGGACTGAGCTAGTTTTTCCTTCATCAGAATGCTTTTAAGAAGTGCTTTCCTCTCCTTCATAAACCGGGAAGCTTTTGCTCCAATAAGGCAAGTTTCTAGTAGGATGCAACCACTAATCTCCCTGTCTGAGAGGAGAAAACTCACCAAATTCTTGCTAACTCAAGCACAGGGATGAGGATAGGAGAGGTTATGGCTACTTTGCATGGCATTTTAACCGTGGCATACACAGCAAAAAGTGTGGGAACATACACAAAATTGCTTAGTTATTCTCTCACTGTTCAAGCACTGGCACAGCTTTGTGAGTTCACAGTCACAGTCCTTGTGTGTCTGCTGCTATATTTCTACAAACAATGATCTCCTTGGGTTTGTGTATGGATTTATAACTGAAACAGAAGTCAGTGACAATTTAAAAATAAGTTCTCAGAAGCCTATTATGTCTTTTTTTTCTGTACTACTGCTTCATTATTCCTGACGTGGAGATTGTGAGTGACAGACAATGATACATGTCCTGGTGATAAGTAATTATGCTTACCTTAGTTGTGCACAGTCTAGCCTAGGGTTTGGTTTTTTTTTGTCATTAAACTAACCATTTACTAACCAGATGTGATTTTTTGGGAGGTGTTAGCCACACATGCTACAGCACACCGGTATCTATAAATAACCAGCAGGCCATGCATAATGAAGTAACAAGTGTTATACTTCCCACAAAACCATTTGTAGTGCAGTTACCTTCATTTTAATGATTATGAGAAGTGCTCTGAGATACTGACTTCACGTTTTCCATTTGGAGTTAAAGACACACAGTGAGGGCCCACTCTTCAAGCTGTTCATCAAGGTTTCTAGCTGCCAAAGAGATGCATCCTCCTTTGTCAGGAGGATAAGTCAGGAATACTTTCTTTTGTAGCTATTGCAAAATCCCTGATTTTCCTGAACTCAGGGTTGGCAAGAGCTTGGTCTGGGCCTTGCCCTGTGGGCATCAGGGAACTGCAAGGGGGACTAACAACCTCTGCTTAAGGACAGAGATGCAGCATAATGACTGTTCAACTGTTACTTTTAAGTGGTCTTATTAGAAATGAAGGGAAAGAGTCCACTCATCCAGGAGAAATCTGAGGCCAATGAAAAGTCCCAGCTCCAACTGGGAGAAATAAAAAGAAAAGAAATCCCTGAACATTTACATGCCTATAATCTGGGGAGGAAGGAGGGTGAAAAAAAACCCCCATTAGTTTAAATTTATAAAAAGTAATTTAAGTTAATAAATTCTTGTTTCAAAAGTCCCCACAATCTTGTGTTAAGGGTAATATCTCTGAATTAACTCCCACCCCAAAACCATTTTGATGACACAGGCAGTTTTCATGAAGGATTTCAGTTTAGACAAATTGGATTTTTCCAATTAAAAATGTTACATATAGATCCTTAAAGAATTCTTAAATCCGAGCTTCCTGTTTTTATCAGCCTAAGCAGCACAGCTATTTGGAAGAACTTTGAATATTAAAGCATCTTTATTTTTAATTTTCTTTTTCCCCCACCAGTAATAAAATCCACTGAGTTAAGCATTTTGGAAAAGGGAAAACCAAGCCAATAAAGAGAGACATCAGAAGACATTTAATTAAAAGGAGAGGCTGTCTTCCCTAATTAGGTACCGTTGTTTTGGTTGGCAATGCTCTCCTCCTTGGTGCTTGCAGACTTTCTCAAACTGAGCAGATGCTGAGCAACTTGCATCTCCTAGGGGCTCCAGTTAGCAAGGCAAGGGGTTGTTGTTGCTGAAGAGAGCGGTGATATTTGTGTCTAGTAATCCCTGTCCAAGTGTTTTTCTGGGCCAGTGGGGAAGCAGGCCCCGTGGGGCTGGATCTTGTGGCTGCCATTGCCAGCCTCTACTCCTGACTGCAGCTGAGCAAATGACCACATTTATTCCAGTACGTTGCCTGTGTCCAAATGTCAGCTCTGTTTCTGATGGAGAATGACTCTCTCACTAAGATTTTAACTACCTTTTCAACACTTTTTCTCCACAGCTTGCATTTCAGTTCCACAAGGTTTTCAATTAACATATGAAGGGATGAGACACTATTTCCTCCTTCCACTCTTCGAACATTTATTTCTATCTCTTAATTCTATCTCTTTATAGTTGTGTCTTTATTTTTTTGATTTTTGGTTTGTTTGTTTGTTTTACACTTCACTTCTTCCCTCTTCTGGAAAGCTGATATTTTATTCCTGCCTATTCCTGTTTTTTGACTGTACATTTCCCACTGCATTTCTTGATTCTTTCCATTTATCTTTTAGAAGTAGTAACACAGTTTTCTGACTTCTGATCTATGCAATAATTCAAGTCTACCTTCCTTCCACTGCTCAGCTTTAAAAATTACTTTTTTTAAAGGGTGAGTAGGGAAGTAAAATGGCTATATTACTCTACAAACTTTCCAAATAAGAATAAAAATGGTGATAATAAGGAAAAAACCCACATTCATTGTAACTGTCCAAAAATGCAGCTCAATAGATCTGAACAGACTTTGCTTTGGAAACTGTAGGGAAAATAATTTTTGAAAAGGGAAGTGAATACAAAAATATTTACACAACCTCCTGGTAGTAAAAGAAGGAAACATGAAGATTTTAAGACTCTCATCCAGCCCCACCTACAAAGAATCAAACCTGTTTAGTAGATTTTTGAAGAGGCCTTCTCTTAAACAACCTAAATAACATTGAAAAGAGTCCCACAAATCCAGTTTTCTCAGTTTAAGTAATGCTGCACATCTGCTAGAAATTATTGAGGAAAAAAAAATCCAATTCCCGGTTACCTACTGCTTCCTATTGGTATCACTAGGCCAAAGTTCTCTACTGTTCATGCTAACACGTACATTTCATGACAAGACTACTTCCAGAAAATTTCTTACCTCATTCAAGTCAAAGATGTGAAACACCCGTTCAACATACATGTTTGCCTGAGGGCTCATATCACGTAAACCCAGTATTGACTTAAACTCATAGAGAGACAGTTGCCCGGAGGGGCACGTCTTCATAAATTTCTGGTACCATTGGCTGTTATCCATTGCAGCAAAATCATCAGATGATTCCGCGGCTCCCATATCACCCTCCAGCTTTCCTCTCTGTGCACGCTGCACTGTTTGCCTTAGTGCAGTACTCCTATGTTCCCTAGCTCACCTCCACTGAGAATTCCTCCACAAACCCAGAGCTGTAAAACTACTGTAAACCTCTTAAAGATCCATGCAAGTCTGGATTAGCTAAAAATAGAAACTCCATGGGATCATCCTTCATGACCTGTTTGAATACAAGTAGGCTTGTCAATAGGTGGGTCCTTCTCTCTGGCAGGAGCTATATCGATGTGTTCCCAGGACTCAACCTGCTTCTACAGGGGCTCTCTTGAGGACAAAACATGACATTTGGGCTCATGTCGTGTAAGATCCTATGTCAGGTTTATAGCCTTGTTAAACTTGCATGGCTTTGCACTACAATGCTAAGATGACTTTAAATGCTTCCCAAAGTGTGAAATGGTGTTGCTGTGCTTTGTTTGGAGGGCTTTGCATTCAGCTCTTTGGAAAAGAAGGAGAATCATAAATCCTGCAAAGTACTAATATGTATGGTGACTCTGGTGTATGCCAGTAAGTGTTCATCCAGCTGAAGGAAGATAATATATAAACAGGCCATACAGCATTGTAATATTGGCATTGAAAACAAACATCCTGATACTCTCTCACAAGAAACATCAGTTCATTTAAATACAAAACGTGGTGAGATTCACACACCAAAACTTGAAGAAAAGACATAAATGAGAGCTAGTGAAATTCAGGAAGGGAACATTTTAACTGAAGGCAGTGTCTTAATGACTCTCCCTTTAACAGTACATACTTTGGATTTGACTTCACATCCCATCTAAACCAAGCATGTGATAAATACTTTTCATATAATCTTAAGGTAAAAAGAACTAGGAACATGTCCTTAGGTATATAATTCTGAAACAGTAAGAGCATGGGGAGGCACTAGAAAGTAATCATATTGCTTAATTTGCATAATCCACTTAACACACACATTCTGTTCACATAGTTTCAGTGATGGGTTTTCAGACAATACAGTGATAAAAATTTGAATACTTAAAGCATGGCACTTTCAGTATCATAGAATCTGGAAGCTGATAGAGGCACCTTCAGCAATTTCAGGTTCAGGAAGAAACGTGCAGCACACCAAAGTCTGTTGCTTGCTTGGAATCTCACTCCTAAATGCCAAATGCATGCTGCAAGAGATTAGATCCCAAATTCTTTTCCTCATCCAGTAATGTCAAAGATATGGCAGAGATTTTTACCATCATGGCAGTAGACAAAATCTGATCCTCTAACAGAAGAAAAATTACATATAGACTTCAGGGGGGAAAAAAAAAAAAAAAGAAAAAGAAAACCAGTCCTGCAGTTTTCATCTTTGAAATATAATTGCACTGCAGAGGGGAAGACAGTCTGAACAATAATGATTTTCTACATCTCTAAATGTTATGCAACTTCAGAACCTTGACTTTCTGTAGTTTCTTTCACAAACTGATAAAATATACCTGCTTATTCTGTTAAGAAAGAGTTAAATAGTTAAATACCTAATCAGGTAGGTTTTTATATCACTGAAGTATGAGGGAGGGTGGAAAGACTTTGATCATCTAACTGGCAAAGAGCTGAGTCATCTTGAAATAAGATCCTTTGGCTTTGCTAAGCATGCAAAGAGTCTTCAGTTGGATTTCTGTACTAAGGCCAGGATCCAGAAGACAAATGCTTTTTGATTGTACTACACATAAGTCATGCTCTTGTTAGAGAAGTGTCGATATGGTCAGAATGATCAAGAACAGTATGAGGATATTGTTACTGAGAAAGCCCGTGCCAAGCTCTAAAAATCCCGTATGTGTTACTCTTGGCAAGCTGGTATGTCAACAGCTCATTCTTCTTCTTACGTAAATCACTACCCTAAACCAGCCTGAAGCCCCATAGAATGACTTCACAGGAAATGTACGTTACAGCAGATAAATATACACATCGTATCAAACGAAACAGATGTGGTGTGAATCCCAAAGGGAAGTTTATGAAATCCTGGCATACGGCTTGAGAGGTCCTGGTCCTCGTGTGCCACAGGCTCTCGCAAGACTTTAATCAAAGCAAGAGAAAAATAACACTGAGCTAGAGTTTATCTAGATGCTATGGGTTGTATCTGAATCTTGTAGTTATACTGTTGCATTTTCATTAAAAATTAATACTGTTGCTATTCCATTAAAAAAATATTTTTTTTCTATTATTAAAAAGAAAAAAGCAAAACATGCAGGTAAAACATTATGGTTCACTTGATTCATTTCACTAAGTGTTTAAGCCTTTCCAGCCACTAAATTATACTAATAGATTGGACAAGGAGAAAATCTCGCCAGCCTTTTATCTGGGAGTAGATGCCACATTCTTCGTAGTATTTCCGTCTGCAAAAGGATACAGACAATTCAATCTCAGGTATATGACTATTCCAAATGTGCCATTCCAGTCCTGTCTTCTAAATAATTTTCCCTGGGCCTATTGCTGCCACAGCTCGATTAAGAAAATATACAATAAAATCTATGCCTCAGATTACAGTAGCTAATGGAGGATCATTGCAACATCTTGCAGAACTGGAAATGAATAGTGGGAGCACATTATGAAATAATGAAGTTATAAGCCTAACATAAGCAGTTTTATAGTGGATTTTATGAAGCCCTAAAGGCCAAATCGTTATTAAATTTCATTAAAAATGGGGGAAGACTTCCAAACAGATAAAACATTGAAACATCTTTTTCTTTCTAACATGGAACATTAATTAAACAAGCTCTTCTGGGAATAGCAAAACAAAAACCTAGATTTGTACAGACTCTGTCTTTTGTCCCGTAAATCTCTGCACCCTGGTACCCCAGCTCCACCCTGTATCCTGACCAGGCAAAAGGAAACAAGTGCCTGATTGTATTGCCAGCCAGTTTTTGCCTTAATGAATAAAAGCTGAATTCTGCATGAGTGGGGCATTCATTCTGTGTGTGTCCCTGCTGCCCAGCTGCTAATTTTTATGAAAACTTTAGGAAATAATTAGGTGAAATGGTTATTCTAAGATTTCATTGAAATATGCCAATTTATTAAAAAGTCATGGGGAAACAGGAGAAGGGGATCACAGATAGGATTATATAACAGTTAAACTCTGATGTGTGTATAAGATGACAAGTTTAAGGCATACATCTTAATATTCATCAGATAACTTAAGCAAGCTACTCCCTGGGTGCTAAGCTATTTGTACTGGGAGGGAGGCCCTGTGATTATCAACTCGTGAAAAAACAACCAACAAAAAGATAACACTACTCTCCACCCCAGAAAAAAAGCCCAACTCAAAACCCCGAAAAGCTTCCCACCTTTTTGGTTTGGAGCTCTTTCCCTGTTTAGACAGGTCTCAGATTCACATAAGGCTTGTCTTAATACAGAACGACTAGCTAATTTTGTAAAATATTTTTTTCCTTACAGAAAGATACTCTAAATAAACTAGATATGGAAAAGTATTCTTCACAAGTATATAGAAAGTAAACACCAGCATCTATATGCACATTCTCAATACTGTAAGCAATTTAAACAAGTGAAGAAAACTGATAGTGTTAATTACAATTAGTATTGTAAGGACTGCAAATGGTAAAGCAAGCTGAATGGAATAAGGTGCTCAAGAGCAACTGTACCCTAAAAGTTTGTATCTGATTTATTCTTGCACTCTCTGCTAATACTGGATTCACCATTTCCTGAGTACAATAGATATTTTCAAATATATAGGTCAATACCAATAGTAGTGGCAAGTTCTCCTAGGCATTTCTGTTGATGCAAAACTATTTGAAGGGTATCTTCTTCTTCCCTCTTCCCACCCTCAGTTATCTCATGACAAACACTCAATTTCCCCATGCCAGTGGTTGCTCCCGCGCTGGTATGCTATCAACTTGACAGAAACCTGATTTTCAAGAAGTGTTCATTTCACATTTCAGTTTTCTGAAAAGTAACTAAAAAAAGCTGCATGCTCAATTTTCTGAAACATCCTCAAATCACTAGTTGCTTTAAAAGTATTTGTTTAAAATAAATTTTGAAATTTTTTCCAAATATCTCTCAAAAATACTGAGATGTGAAGGGCTTTTTGCAGTCCACTTTAAAGCTCAACTGAAAAAACTCTTAGATGAGCTCAAACATTGTCCGTGTGCATTACTCAAGAATGTTAGCACTGATAAAAGCTTTCCTGGGGAACATAACGCCTTAATTTATCAATTGAAAAGAACACAGTAAACTGACAATTTCTGCCAGATTACATATTGATAGACTTGAAGTTTGCTCACCAACTCTAATTAGCATATTATTGGGTTAGGTGATTCTACTTAGTCAAATTCCATTATATTTAACATCTGGTAATTGGCAGGGGGAAAGAAAAGAGCATGTGATAAGCATGATCTTAGAGGAATACTACTTGAAGACTATGTAAGAAAGAGAATTGCATAATACCAAAAAAGCCAACTGAGTCGGGAGTGGGTGTGTGTGTAGAAATAACTGAAACAAGAAAGTGGTGATACAGAGGTACTGATTCTAGGAATTCTTAGTCAACCAGGCACTATACACGGAATTAAAGACTGGATGTAAAAGCACACAGGGTAAGTTATACTCTCAACATTTTCTGAAAGAAATGTAATTAATTTCATAATAAAGAATAGAAAGGCCATTTCTGGAAATTGAAACTGTCTGGAAAAGTTGTGGCTGCAATTTGGACCCGTTTTAACCTGCCACTAAAGTCATTCATGTAATGTAATAACACATTTTTCATTACATCTCTGAATTCATTGAGATCAATGACGTGAGTAAACAACACTAATGCTTTTTTTTTTTTTCTTAAATAAGTTTTTATATAATGATAAGCCCATCTGTTCTATTAGCTGGAGGCAGACTTTGATTGTGTAGTATTGACAATTCAGCCTAAACCTTATTTCAGTTAAGGACAAACACTTTTGTAGGAATTAGAGATGACTCTCCACCTCTTTTGTAGCATTCGATCGAAAGTGTTTTTCTGGCTTAAGGAGAAGATAACAAGGCATAGTCTTCTGGATGGGTCTCATGGCTAGAAGGAACCTTTATGAACACCAAGTTGGAAGAACATGAGAGAGCAATGCAACTGACAGCTG